ATCAATTATAATCATACACCTTTAATCGATTATTAATCAATTATGAAACGATTATAATCCAAAAGAATCAAAAAAACCAAATTTTCATCGATTATTCCTATTATTTTCGATTATAATCGATTAAAAATTGTGCAAAAAATATCGATTTTAATCGATTTTTTTCTCACACTATATCACAAAATCTTTAATCGATTTCATTAGATTTTCATCGATTAGAATCAATTATTTTCTTGAACTTTTAATCGATTATAATCGAAAATAATCAGAATAATCGATGAAAATTTGATTTTTTTGATTATTTTTGATTATAATCGATTCATTATTGATTAATAATCGATTAAAGGTGTATGATTATAATTGATTTTTAATCATTTTTTAATCGATTTTAATCTGATTATTCCCCTTTTTTTTTCACATGGGTCGCGAGTGCTCGAAAATAAAATTGAGCTAACTTTTGACTAGCTCAACCAAATGCGGTAAAAATTTAGATTTGGGGGTTTTAGATGATGCTGAACAAGATGAAAACGTCAAATCCAAAAAATTTTTTATCAAGTGCTTCGATTTTTAGCATGGTCCCCGATGATCTCATGGAAGCTCTCTTAATAGCTAATCCAGAACTATCATCAACAATAAAGTCAGCCATAGTAGGACATTCATCAAGATTATTGAAAGAAGAAACTACACAGATCAAACGACTTATTCTCTTTTTATGCACAGAAACTGATCATGCTTTTTTATCTGAACTCAAAGAATATTTTAAAATCAAATTAACAGAAAATGGTCTTGGTACATTTCTTAAATATTCTAGCACGGTTCGTGGCTTTATTGTTCGACCAGATGGTTTTTCGCAAGTTAATCAACAGAACGAAAAAGCTATTCAAGACACTACGGAATATTTAAAAAAATATTTAATCTGTTATAATAATGAAAATATTTTTGTCAAGTAATTTTAACCATACTTACAAAATTGAAATTTCAGAAATCAGAAGGTTTCCTTTTATAAATAAGGAGAAAAATCAGGAGATTGGTTATCATAAGTTAAAGAATTATTCGATGATTTTTCTCATGAAAAATTCGAATTTTCGCTCATATAAGTATTTTTCTCTCTTGCATATCGAGTTGATGATCAATACTTTAATATAAATGATCTTTTCTTTTCCATTTGAATTGTATTATATTTAATGCTTTTTTTGCTATAGAAGGATTCGGGAAACATTTTCGGGTTATATCGACTATATACATTTCACCAATTAGTACTTTCGTCTTCATTCTTTTCAGATTATTTTCTAATTCATCATTCAAAATTCTTCTTCATCGGTGAGTCGAAACAAATGTATTTATATAAATTAACAGAACGATAAAAAAATTTCTGCCAAAATTAAAATGACAGACAATCATCCTTTATTTCTTATATGTTCTATATGAATCTTTTACACGTGCTTCTACGCTTCTTTCTGTAAAACATGTTATATCATGAACATACTATACAAGCAGGGTAAGTTAACATTTGATAAACAATTTGTTGCTCTTCTTAGTTTTTGTATAATTTACTCGATGAACATTTTATGAAAATGTCTATAATTGAGGACAATTGAAATCGAACCCTTTGATTTATTTTCCTCTAGATGTGCACAAAGATTGATATTACATCATCATCATTTATTGTTGAGAATGATTTCAGTTCGTATGACTGTCATTGCTGTATTACGTATGGGTGGTAATTCTTGTTGGAGAATCACATTTATAATAGTTGATTTGCTAGCTTTCATTGGTGTAATAATTGGCATTCATAATTCTAATTTGTTTACCCTGTCAAACTCAAATTTCAGACGTTAAACTAAACATGATACCTCATTTTTGTTGACATCATTCTCTTCGCTAGTCAGTAACTGATCAGTTAAATGACCAAAAGCAATGGAATTTTGTAAAAGTTTTGATAACTCATGTTTTATACTCATAATAATTGCAATATTTATCACATTGGCTTTGGTTATAGTCATATTGGCCTTCACTCATCTAGAGAACGTGAACAGTGCCAAATGTGTGCATGTGTACGAGCTGTCTTCGTGGTAATCATGTTAAACACTAGGTAGAAAGCCCTCATCTTGCACCACCTGAATAGTCAGGGTTTAGCACAAATTGCCTATTTCCCACGCATGTACTTTCAATATATCAGGAGATACACAATAGCTTAGTAGAAAATGTCCTTACACTACACTCTAAGAAAAATCCGTCGTGTAGGAAACCCTTAATGGGTTTCCGAACTTGTTACTATCGGAAACCTTTTAGGGGTTTCCGAGAAAAGGTTTCCGAGCACTCGGAAACCCTACATTAGCATATTTTACTACCACAACACACCAACCATCGGAAACGCATTAACTGTTCCCGAGCAGGTTCCAGAACAAGTAGATACCTTACTTCGGTCAATTAAAATAACCCTTACATGAGCCATGAAAGCTCTCACACTCTCAGCCCACGCATGAATATTAATGCAATTTCATTACAGACCTAAATAAAGAAAAAAGGATCAGATTGAATTTTATTGAAATCAATTGTCTTACCAGAAATTGTAATCGATATTCATATAGACCTAAATAAACAAAAACAAATTAGATTTAAGTTTATATTAATCAGCTGACTTCCCAGAAATTTTTGTGGTTATTCACATAGACCTAAATAAACAAAAAAGAATCAGCTTTAAGTTTATATAAATCAGTTGACATACCAGAATTCTTCATGGACATTCATATAGACCTAAATGAAGAAAAAACAATCAGATTTACTTTTATTGAAATCAGTTGACTTACC